GCGGGTCTCCCGGCTGTGCTGGGGAGTCCCCCCCCAGCACACCAGGGAGACCCGGAGCAGCTTTTCTCGCCCCGGAGGATGCGGTGGTGGGACCACTGCGTGTCTGGGTGGTCCCGCCGCCCGCGAGTTCCGGGGCGAGAAAAGCCCCGTTCATAAGTGCGGATCTGACGTAAGTCGGATCCGCGTATCTCGGGGACTGCCTGTACTGTAAATATCAATAAAGGTATCAGAAACAGGGAGGAGAGAAGCTGCACAGTCACTGCAAGGGCAGTCAGATTTTCAAAACAGCATGTAGCCACAATTGGGGGCAAGTGGCAAATTTTCAAGAGAGATAATTTCCAATGTAAGTATCTAAATGAGAGTTGCGTAATTCTTAAAACATGGCTGGAAATAAATTGTTGCTACAACAGAGCAATACATTGTAGTTTTCCTTGATCCAGTTATTAAGAGTTACAAGGGTGCTTTTAAACTTGATCATTCATTCTACAGATTTCTGATTTAGCTTTAAATATTTCAACAGAGTTAGTATTAAAAAGTAAACTGGTAGCATTGGTGTCATTCAGAACCAGCGCAAATAGGGCTTATACTAAGTGGGCTGTTCCCAGCCAATGTGAACTGCAGGAAGCAGTGTCCCAGCCCGCAAGCTGCTCATTGCACACCCTGGCCTATACTAATTTCCTCATACAAAACTATGACTACATCTCAGTTTTGACATTGCAGTCTTCTCCTTAGCAATAGGAGGTGGTTCTGTAATGTGTGTGAGTTGGAGTTAAATATTTTCAGGTTAACTCCTTTTTTGTTTATTACCAAAAATCTATGTAGAGAGTCTGAACAAGTGTAACTTCCCACTGACCTCTAAAATCCATCCTGAAAAATGTGTATAATGCATAATAGGAAGTTACTTTCCACAGTTTAATTTCAAGAGTTAAGTAAATTAGGACTTAATGAACCAAAAAGCAAACCCACAAACTTACCATTTGCCTTTTCTTAGGCTTTGAAAATAAAAAGATGAGATCATTGAATATGTTTGTGCTTCGATTTTGTTCTGGTAAAGTGCAGTCTCTTTTGCGATTTTTATAAAAACATTTTCCAGCAGTTGTCTGGAAATAACAATAGCACAATCATTCATGAATTCTAAACATTTCCAGATACTGCTTAAAAGACATTTCTGTAGATGCAGATACTCCAAGAAGATTACTGTGTTTGAAAATCATTTCTAAATAAGAGAAATGCAACCAGGGCCAAGGGCAGTGTTCCAGGACGCTGCTTCCTATATCTCCCTGGGCTGCAAATGGCAAACCAGAGTCAATTGAAGACACAAGGCTCCATAACTGTAGAGATGGTAAATAAACACATTGGGGAGGCCAGTTAGCAGGTTTCTCAAGAGTGGTTTTGTGGACCACATTGAGAGACATTGGCATAGTGTGTGCAATTCTATACCAGCTTGCTTAACCAGAACACACTGCTTAACATCTTACCTGCTCTCAGAATTGTACTGAAAGTTTCTGGCATGAGAGAGGCGTGATAGAAAAATATATTGGGGAAATTAAGACCCAACCCATTCTCTTGTGGAAGAAATGTAAACTAATGTAATTACATTAAATAACAGTTTAAAAATGGGTGTTTGCTTGTTTGATCTCACCATTGACATAAACAGGCCAAGAGAATAGCAAAAATCTATAGAGTAGGGATTGTGTATTCTCTACAACAGCATATATATTTTCTGGTATGAAACAATTAGCAGAACTTTGAGTAGAATCTAAAAACAAAATTTAAATGGTTTTTTGGACAGGATTATGGAAAGTATGAATTCACACATCTCTCTTTAAAAATACTTCCATTAGTCTCCTTACAAGGACTCTTTCAGTGTTCTAACACAGAATTCATGAATAGGGAAAAGTAGACTGACACTATTTAAAAGTTAGAAACTGGCCTAACACTAAGCTCCAGGCAGGAAGATATATTAGCTCCAATGGGAGTCCAATAGAAGTCTAGTGTACTAGCTGGCATATTTCAGAGAAAAGCTGTAGATTAAATACAGAATACGCACTAATTCTAAATGTAACAAGTAGACACACACTTTCATTTAAGTGAGCACAGTGTGTAAAGTAAGGCTCCCTAGTATACTTGACTCTTTGTGTAGAATACTTCAGTATCTTTGAATTCAGAATGTCTACATCTCTGCTAAATCAGCATCAATACTCCATGGCCATTTCTGAAATAAGTGCATGCTTGGTTTATTTAGAATTGGTTGATGTGCTAAAAGAAGAGGAATTAAAATATTTTATCAAAAGCATACTACTTGTTACAGTCAAGTTTCACTTGCTGAATTAAGAAAATCTTAGAAGTGCCTTTTCCAGCACTTTTGTACTCAATTTAATTCTGTATGTTCAGGTACATACAGAACATACAGAGCTGTATTTAAAAGGTATGAAATAAGGAAACAAGCATACCTTGACATCCAGAATGTTAAACAGTTTTTCCTCTCTTGGGGCAAAAGAATTAGGAATCATTATCTCCAAATCTGTATCAGGAGCCATGCTTGGTCCAGCATTGATAACCTTGGGAGAAAGGGTTCTACAGTAACTGAAGTTTTCCTTCACATTAATCAAGGACTGAATATCCAGAATTCACCCATTTACATCTTAGAGAGCAGCGATGGAGGCTTCTCCTTGCTGGCTTGAGAGGAAGACTTGCCTGAACTAGAGGAACCACCTCAAAAGATGACAGTGCAGTTCATTTTCTAACCCATATTCTTTCTGTTAACTCTCCTAATAGAATGCCGGCAGTGATAGTTTTGCAATATGGCAACACGTGTCTGCTATGACCTGAACTGTGGTCATATTTCACCACTTCAGGTGGGATATTGAAAATGGTCCTCCAATTCTCATTGAATATTAATCTATCAGTCTGGGATGGATCTGAACTGGTAATATAATTACTAATCCCTTGCGAACAGCTAGTCTCCTATGATCTACCTACAGTACTTTACACAGCTTCTTTTGCAGCACTTTTTACTACATTTCAGTACAATGAACTTAACTATTTTTACACTTGACTCCCATGTGTTAGTAAATACGTACTTGCTTTAAAAAAACAAAACAAAAAAAACACCACCACCACTGAAAACTGAGAGAGAGTGAAAGAGGATATTCTTACAGGTCCTAATGAGCTAAGTACTCATTTCCCATTGACTCTGAATGAAAGTTAGGCACCTAACTCCACTTTGTCTTTTTTTATCCTCCTCCACCCTATCATCCAGGTCTATTGTAAATCAGTGAAACTCCCATGAATGTCTCAATCAAATTCTGACCTCTGATGCAGAACAAATCAGCAGCAAGAGTTTCAACACCTGTACAACTCCATAACTGTGACATTCAAGTTGCTTAACTGATGCTGGCTGTGGTTAGAAGGGGCATGGAATGAATGGGCTGGCCATGAAGTGACAGGAATAAGAATCAAAGACTATAGGAGGCTATGAGCATGTTCAAAGGCAATTAAGTGAGGTTCATTTTAAAATGGCTCACACCCTTTAAAGATAACTTTAACTTATTTAGCAACTGACCCAGGTGCTATTGAAGTCAGTAGCAGTGTTTCTACAGACCTCTAAGGAGCATTGATTGAAGTGACTTGTCATATCTATTATTAAGAATAAACTTAAAATAAAATGAATGGTTTCTGTAAAGAATAACTCTTACATGGAAAGTGAAGTTGATCTTCTCCTTCATGCAATCAATTGCTGAATTTTCCATACTGGGTCCATAAACAAATGAAGTTGGTAGTACAAATCTATGGTAGTTAAAAAATAATTACAATAGGACAAAATTAACACCCTTTAGAATTCAATATTAATATGAGCATTATCCTCTCTGGGCCAGACTGTCCTCTATCCAGGTCACTATATAGAACTGTGAAGTGTGCTTTAGCACTTACTTCAGCCCTGTATTAGGGAACATTCAGAATAAATTTAGTTGAGAAATCTCTGCGGACTGACTGGGCATAATGTGGTAGTGTGATTAATCACTATCTTCCAGTGCTACCCGCTCATCCCCAACTCAGAGAGTGGCTTTTATAAAGGAGGGGAGAAATTATGACAAAGCAGCTACTCATCTCTTTTATCTCTGGCTTATTTATGCATCTGCCCCTATTAGTGGGATTTTAGAAAAAAGACTTGTGACTGGTATCATTTAGTGGATAGGTCATGAAATTATGGTATATTCCCAATCTTGCCACTGTTTCTCAGTTTCCCCAAATACTTTTATCTTAAAATGAAAAATGCTGGCAGTAAAGTGTTAATATTCCTGAAATGGCTACAATGATGGATTTGATGGGAAGAGAAGGGATGAGAAAGTAGAATGGGATACTAGAAGCAGGTGCTGCCCCTAGCCATCTCTAGTTTGAAAGAAGTGTCCTGTTTTATAAGTAGTATACTGAGCCAGCCAGTCTAAAGCAGTTTGTCCATAAGGCTCTATAGTAAGTGTCCTTTACATTTGCCATCACCTGATGACACTGATACAGTCAAAGGAAGATCCTTAAATATCCCTGGGCATTTCTGCTACATGACTGCAAGTGGAGGATTATGTTACACTGAGGTTAGGCAAATCAAGACTTGCCTTAAAGGGATCTGAATTGATCTACCTTATTCTGGGCAGACACAGGCAGAAACACCAGCTGGCACAAGCTGAACAGCAAACAGTCAATACAGTTGAGTATAAAAGACAATGTTAGCAGTGGACAATTACACTAAAAAAGCATAAGGCTGAGCAGTTACTAAAAGAGAATTTGATAGGCTAAAGGATTAAAATATAGTTTTTGTTCACCTCTGCAGAAAACAGGATTAAGTGGGAACAAATAATATTACTCTGATGGGAAAAGGTGTTATAGAACAGCAAAGAATCAGTCCTTGGTTAATAAATCTCAGCACTCTTAAGGGTTTTTTTTCCATTTCAGATAGGAAAACTGAAGTACAAAGTCTGCAGCAGTGTGTGGAATAAAATCTACATCATCTCACTCCTGGTACTACAATTTTTTAAGTATGCCATGTTTCCTTTCTGATGATCATGGGAGTGCAATTGAGATATGTGTTCCTTAATTATAAACAATCCTATATATGTGGATATACAGAGCAGCCATTAACTTACTTACCCGTGGACATTTAGTTCAACCTCATGTTTCAGAGATATGGCTAAAATTATGGAGTTATCCAACAGCAGGTTGTTATCCTCTTCATTCTCACTGTAGAATTAAACATGGGAGATGAGAAGCTATGTTAGAATACAAAACACAGTGTGTTAGATAACTAATTACATAAAACATACACCTACCTTATTTCAATACATTTTTTGGTAACTGCACATATAAAAGTGAGAAATCATTTTTATAACAATGTTAGCAGAAATCTGCTCATTATTTAAATAGCAATTATCTACTTTTTTGTAGTTTGTTTCTCTATATTTTATATAACGAATGAGCTTTCTTGCAGTAGTGCTTCATTAAGCCTCTGAGGTACTTCCCATTCTGTTTTCCAAAGATAGGGACATTTTTCATCAAAGCCAGCAATTTTTAATTGAGCAAGATTTACCAGGTAGCATTAACAGTGATGCTGAGATCATCTTCTGCCTTGGTAAGTGAGCTTGCATCCAAGAGAAAACTAAAATCCATCTGTAGAACAAATGAAACTTTTGTGTGTTTGTGGTACATGATTGGGTATGTCGTAACAAATGTTTGTTGGCATTTAACTTGTGGAAAACTCTAGAACACACTGCATTATATTTTGCACAAGTTTGGTTCCCAAGATCACTAGGGCATATTGCTTTTGTTCATAATCTTAGTCAACCCCCTACTTTCCTACAAAATACTGCTAAGTTACAGAAAATGTATTGTGCCACAGAAGTTCCAGTTCTGAACTAAATGCATGCTCATGGCATGCCCTAAACACACTTCCACCCAAAGGGAGAGACTGGATTTGGTGCTCCCTTCATTTTCTCTAACATGCACAATCCCCTATAGCAGCAGTTCTCGACTGGGGTCTATGGCCCAGTTTCAGGTGGCCCACCAAGCCCCGGGGGCAGGTAATAAGCAGATGGTGGGTCAGATGCAGTTCACCAGGATTAACCCCCTGGCAAGCCGCCAGATGCTTTATTTATCCATGCATCCACAAGCATGGCCATTCGCAGCACCTGTTGGTCATGGTTCACCATTCCTGGCCAAAACTTCCACCCCTATGAGAGACATTTTTCTTTCCCCCTCCCTTTATTGTCAACAAAGAGCCAGGGAAGACACTGCTATTTGCTTTGTCCACAGAACTGACTGGCCAGTATCCCAAAATGGCCCTGATCACTCTGCTCAGTGTTTTAATCTCTGCGGCCCTGCAGATATGGGCCCCTCCCTTTTCAAAGCTCCAGGAAGTTGAAGAATCTGACAGTTGAGTGTGTTGCTCTATTTGGGGAACAAACAAAGGCTTTCTTTACACTTGTAAAATTAAAGCACAACTGTGGCAGTGACAGTATGGCCAGAGCATGAGCGCTGGTAGAGAGGTCTCTCAGCACTCTACGTAAACCACCTCCAGGAGGGGAGTATCGAACACTGGTGCTTTACAGCACTAAGACTTGCTGCACCTGGAGGTGGGGGGTGTCACACCTCTGAGCCAGAAAGTTGTAGCGCTGTACAGTGGCAGTGTAGATTTAGCCAAAGAGCAAATCATTGGAGTGTTCCTGTTCTGCCCTACACTAGGAGCACAGCAGCAGGCAGACTGCTGCTGCAGGAGGAGGGAGACAGATTGTTGTGCTGCTTTGATATTTCCTCAGCATGGAGAGCTCACAGAGCTACTCATGATGCTGCTCACAGCTGAGGAGGCTGTGGGAGAATGTGGAGAGAATCCCAAGACGCACAGGGATCAGGTATGCATTCCCACTACATTGCACTGTGGGATACATACCCACAGTGCATTTCTTACACTGTCGATGATGGTGCCCCCAGTGTGGGCATCGTCTGTCAACAGGAGGAGCAAGTGTGAACTGACATTAGTTTTGTCAACAAAATTTGGTAGTGTAGATGTAGCCTGAGATATGCTAGATCAAATAACTTGTTTTCCAATTGTCAAAAATCCTTGTAAACACATGGTAATATCAATTACTTCGTTGGTACGGTTCACCATAAATTGAGCAAGAATACAATATGCACAATATGCCTGCTCTTGATGCATTGTAATAAATAATGTGATTTTAATGCATTATTTCAAATAAATTGTAAAAATCTAATTTCTTAGAAATAGAATGAAGAATTTATATTATTATTTTAGCGAAAAATAACTGCCTACATAGGTGCTATAAACTGCATTCCAATATATATATCTTATCCTTGATATCTCAGTGCAATATTTTATCATTTCCATATTTTACAACTTTTACTTAACCCTCTTGCATGTAATAATGAGGATAAAATGTCCTCAGTGAAATAAAGCTAAATAAAATGCCACGAGAGATCTGACAAATTGTTGCATGAGAAAATGTTAATTCTTAAAAAACTATTCCTAGACATATGCCTATTTGAATATGTGGCTAAAAGAACCTCAGGTTCTCTGTTACCAGGGTGGTTTATGTGGAGCGGAGAGCAATACGTTATTTGTTGAACACTTTCATTTGATCTTTAGCAGACATTATGTAATATATGCGATATAAAGTGTTTCTTGACAAGTTATACATTTTAAGCATTTACTCCAACAAGATGTAGTTCTAAAGATTAACCATTTTAGATTTAGTTTACCTTCGACAAATGGTCTACATATAAATACCCAACACTGCAGTCAAGTCTCATTGCCTGAGCTTCATCTGATATTTCACATTGTATCTGTTTTTCTTCCTAAAATTAAAGAATGAAACTGTTTTATGTGATGAAATCGAATGACCATTTTGCAATGTTATTTCAGAATGTACACACTACATATATACCATAAAATTTCACTTTGAGTGTTTAGACTACTATAAACACCAATGGGAATTTACAAAATATTTTTGCTGCTACTAGGTGACTAGTCCAATGAGTCCATATGGCTGAATTCCTTGCATCAATCAAATTACAGGCAGTCACCGACTTACGCGGATCCGACTTACGTCGGATCCGCAGTTACAAACGGGGCTGTCCCAGAGTACACGGACTGCGGGACCTCGCGGTCCTGCCGCCTGTGTACTCTGGGGCTTTGCTCTGCGTCTCCCTGGTCTGCAGACCAGGAAGAGGCAGAGCAAAGCCACAGAGGGGCTCGGGCAGCGGGGCAGCCCCGCTGCCAGAGGGCCCCCTCCTTGGGGCTCTAACCCAAACCCTAGGACCAAGGGATTTATAAGCCAGCTGATTAATGTTTGTTGTACTTTTCCCTCCCCACATCTGGGCCAAACCGCAAAGGCCACTCTACAGCCCCAGCGGCTGGGGGAGATGAGCATGTTAGAGCCTCTGCCGACTGAGCTGTAGCTTTCTGTGCCCAGGGAGCCAGACACC